TAATAGTAAAATAACCTTATTCAGACGTTACTAATATTCAACTATCAAATGAACTTAGTGGTTCAGCATTCAGTATTAAGACACAACTCTTAAACATTCAGATGTATATTCAGCATTCAGCATTCAGTACTTAATCCTATCAAACAGGCCCTAAATTTTAAGCCCATCGTGGATGCTCTTATTTTAGGGGGAAAGAGAAGAAAGAGAGAAAGCTTCTCCCTCCTTCCAAAAAAAAAATCAACAACCCTTAATAAATAAATAAATAAATATATATATATATATATATATATATATTGGAAGGGGGGAGGGCGGCCAAGAAAAGCGCACACACACATACTCAACAACTGAGAAACACAGAAACCAACTAGAGAGTTGAGGAAAAAGTACACCCAAACACCTTAAGCATACACGAGAGACTCAGTACATTTCTATGGTGTCAAAACGAACCCCATCAGCTCCTACCTAAAGTATAATAAGGAAACTTGAAATTAAGATATTAACAACAATAAAAATACTCTAAAATACTACAACCTAAATGTGTTGGGGCAGACAATTCTATACAAAGAATAGGCAAAATAATGGGCAAAGAGAATGGACAACAAATAAACTTGACCTCTATAGAAATGTCTACTATATAAAGAAAACGTTAGTGCCACTATTTTCACAAATAAATCTTCATTCTTTCAACTATTGTAAAAATATATTTATTACATAATGGCTCCCACTTCAAGTTGGTCCGTACATGAAGATTTTGCAATCACCAAAACATTCATTACAGTGTCGGAGGATCCAATTCATGGCGCATGTCAAAGAAAAGGTGTCCCATGGAAGAATGTCATATCCTACATGGACCAATTACTAGAATTTGAGGAAAAAACGTATTCTAATAGAACAAAAGAGGCCAGAAAAAGTCGGTAAAAGAAAATTAGAGGGTGTTTGGCTAAGCTTATTTTAAACAGCTGATAAGCTCTTATGTCTGATAAGATGTTTTTAGAGCTGATAAGCTGTCACATCTTATTTTTATGATTATTTTTTAGAGTGTTTGGATAATGAACTTATTTCCTATTTTTACACATTATAAGATCTTAAATAAAAAGGTGGGGTACAGGTACTTATTTAAAAAGATCTTATTTGGTTTTCAACAGCTTATTTTAATAAAAAATAAGATCTTTTTTTAAAAAATTACCAAACACTTTGAAAGAGCTTATAAGCTCTAAAACATCTTATAAGCTCCTTTTAACATCTTATAAGCGTAGCCAAACACCCTCTTAGTCTATATTTAAATAAATGGAACTCGGCAGTTCGCCAAGCATCAAGTAGATACGCAAGTGGTGCCAATCTTTTGGATGAGGTAAATGTTTTGATGATATCATTTCGTACTCAATACTATTCACATGATATATTATAATATTTATTTTGTAATTGTGAAATACTTAATAAAAATGTGATTTAATAAGATAGAAACTCCAAACATCAAGTCGACGACACAAAATTTTTTACTAACTCGAGAAGACACTTGGTTGTGCACGTGCATTGACTTCAAACTCAATTTATGACATTTTCCACTCCGAACCTCTCTCCGATCAAAACCGTAAAGTTTTAGATATTTAAGTTGGCTTCCAAAGAATTTCGAATCACCCGAATCACAAAACTGCCAGATATAGGCGAGAGATCATTGAAAGAGGTGACGTCAAAGTCGAGAGAGTCACTTCGGAGGAAAATATTGCAGATCCCTTCACCAAGCATTTATCTGGATCGGTCCACGAGAAACACCAAGAGTCGATGGGACTTAGATTTAAGAGTAGTTGGCTTTAGGTCAAGCGTGAGATTGTTAGAGTAGGTGATCAAAAAACCAACTTGTGGTTGTGGTCTTTCCATATTCTTGTAATAACAATTTGATTTGTATTAACAAAATTCATCTTTTGGCATTCTATATATGTTATTCCATGCAAGACTATCAATATAGTCCTAATGAGTTACTCTATTACTTTGAATTGGTCTAGTAGAATCGTGAGATAATTCAATATCAATAATGTAACTGTTAAACCAAGTTCCTAGTCAATGTGTTACGCCATTAAGGATATTTGTATTTCCCTTATGGGACTAGAACTTAGTGTATGTGTAATGCGTCTCGTCAGTCATCGATGTTGTGACATTGACATACTTGAGTGGGTGCTCATGTATAGATGGATTCAGTGAACTCTCTTTCCCTACAAATCTCTAAGTGGTTCCTAATTACTGAGTAGAGATTTTCTATGTTATAGTTGTACACATTAATCCTTGAGACCCAAACATTACCATGGCTTCACTAGATGGCCAGTTGTGTCGTGATTTGTCCCTAAATCTCATTGAAGACCGCTCCAAGGGCCAAAGTTCGCAAAATCCGAAATCTAGTGTGAAGTGTGTGCACCGTAGTAGGGGATTCGAGTGTTTGATCAGTCATGGATGTCCCATGTGTTCTGATGGTTTATAATCTATGGAGTCTCTGGCCAGAGCTAATAGTGGGGTGATTAGGGAAATGAGTTTCTCTAAGTCAGACACGAATGAATTATATATATTACCTAGAATGTTCGTACAACTATTAAACAATGATAAGGTCTCGATTGACCTGGCCTCAAGTTTAATCGGGACATATGCGTCAGAGGGATCGTATTGTACGTAACTATCTTAAACAATTTTTGCAGACACTTCATTTGTATCTAAGGAATCATGATGCCCAACTACTAGACGTCAATCTTGATTCGTTGGGCATTCACCGATTTGATTGGAGATTAAGTTAAAAATAAGTTATATCTTAATTGGGACTCTAGGGATGAGTCTCTATAAGAACAATGAGTTGTTCGAATTACAAAGAGTTGTGAGCCCACAACTATCTTGCACATGAACCATTGAGGGCCACACTTCTCATGTACTAGAGATCCTTGAATATAGCTAAGATTAAGTTGTTATTCTTTGCATAATTGGAGGTCAATGTCATTGGATCCAAGGTTCGTAACTGTTAATTGCGAATTGGAATAAATAGAGAGAAAGAAATCAACAGGAATTTTGTGAACTTTCTAACTTGGAAAAATTTCCCGATTTAGCAGGTGCACAGAATTGGAATTTTCCAAGTTTAGAAATAAGAAAATTTCAAGTGGCACTCGTATTGACGAGAAATTTATGCTCGTCGCAAATATATTGTTATATTTTTCTGTGGGGTCGTTTGTTAGAAACGAAGCATGCGGAGATGGGCCGAACAAATTAATGAATCCGATCCATAATTTAAGCCCACTAGGGTTAAGAACCCTAGTATAAATACAATTTAAAGACGAGTCCCAAAATCCAAGCCGCTCTCCCGCTCGGCTGCACACACGAGCCGCTACTCCGCTACCTAGGACAAAAAATAATACAAAAGACCATTTTAAAAAAATTGAAACATATTGATTTTGACACTAAGGTGTCGAAAATGTGAGTATTTTCGACACCTAAGTGTCAAAATCAATTTGTTTTTTTTAAATGGTTTTTTAAATTATTTTTTTGTTAAAAAAGAGAACAACACATAAAAGTCAGTAAAATACACTTGAAAATATTTATCCCAATTGATTTTTTTTTTTTTTGGGGGGGGGGGGAGCAATACTGTGGAAAAATGAATAGTTAGTTTTTGACATCTAGTTAGTTTTTCCTTCTTGGATACGGTCCGAAACAGCCGATGGTAGACGTTTTCCCCGGCAAACAATAAAAAGAATTAAATTCATCAAACAAGTTTAATAAAGGTTATTTGCGAAAACCCCACCATAACATTTTACAGTTAGTGTAGACCCAAAAATATTTTCCCTTTTTTAGATAAATTCAAGTTTTATTTACCAACTTTTTTATTAGGATCTCCCTATAACACCCTTATTTATTGTTTGGAATAGATCCAATTTTATTTTTCTATTCGACTAAATCTATAATTTCATATTAAATTATAGAGGCTATTTGATAAACACCCTCAATTGCATTTTGACTTCTTAATAAATCCAAATTTTAATTAAATTTTTGACATAAGTTCAATGGACTCACATTACCCAAAATACCCTAACTGAACTCATTAGGCGTAAATTACGTTAATTATCTCAACCTTGTATCATTTGGATTTCTTTATCTTTATACATATTTTTAATTATGTTTTATTTTTATTTATTTTTATTTTAAATTTTATTTTCTTATTTATATATTTCTTTTCTTATTATACAAAGTTGGTTTTATTTTTCTTTCGGTTTTCTAATTTTAATTTTTAAAAAATTGGTTTTTTTTATTTCTTTTCATTTTTTTTTGGAAATAAAATATTTTATTAAATTATCTTTTTTCATTTTTTATAATTTCGATTAAAAAACTATTTTTTTTTGTTTTTTACAATGTTTTCTTTTTATTTTTTCTTTTTATTTTTCTACGAGGTCATCAAATTGAAATCCACTACATATTTATCGAAATCCGCTATATATTTATCGAAATTTACTACATATTTATCGAAATCCACTATAAATTTATCAAAATCCACTATAAATATATCGAAATCCACTATAAATTTCTCGAAATCCACTAGAAATTTATCAAAATCCACTACATATTTATCGAAATCGACTACATATTTATCGAAATCCACTACACATTTATCGAAATCCGCTATATATTTATCAAAATCCACTATAAATATATCGAAATCCACTATAAATTTATCGAAATCCGCTATATATTTATCAAAATCCACTATAAATATATCGAAATCCACTATAAATTTATCGAAATCCGCTATATATTTATCGAAATTTACTATAAATTTCTGGAAATCCACTATAAATTTCTCGAAATCCACTAGAAATTTATCAAAATCCACTACATATTTATCGAAATCCACTACATATTTATCGAAATCCACTACATATTTATCTAAATCCGCTATATATTTATCAAAATCCACTATAAATATATCGAAATCCACTATAAAATTATCGAAATCCGCTATATATTTATCGAAATTCACTATGAAATTAATTTAATCAAAATATAAAATTAACGTAATCCCCACTACAAACTTATAGGAATCCACTATACCATTAACATCACCCACTACAAAAACAAAATATTCCGACGTAAACCACTAATAAAAAAAACGTAAATTCACTATTAAATTAACGCAAATCCACTACTAAATAAACGTAATTCACTATTAACGTATCTAACGACTAAACATTTACCAAAAACAACAAAACCACCTACTTTTATCGGAAACCACTATAAATTCTAAGAAGGAAACATCAAATTTCAGTGAAAAAGAAAACTATAAAATCAGTATAAAGGACACCATCTTATCTCCAATGAAACCCAAAGCATGTCATCCCGTTGATATCATTTTGGACTCTCAACAAACTGCATTCACCTTTGCTGGCCTAAACAATGGGTCAACCATTGAATCACCACAAAACAAGTTTATCCCAATCCAACTTATAATCACAGGAGCTCTAGAAATTAGAAAAATATATAAAATAAAAGTTTGCCAAAAACAAATTGAATTGACAAAAAATATTGGGAAGGGTTTCGTTTGCAACGTTTGATGTTGCAAAAAATATTGAAATAAAACACCTTTTACGAGAACAAATAACCTTGCATTTTTTCCAATGCGTTCATTGCAGGATAATTTTGCATTTCAATATTTATTATCACTTCCAAAATTGTTTAATTCACAGCCAAAATTGTTACAAAATTGTTCCAAAATCCCTCAATCAAAAGGACGATTCACGAAAGATCAGAAACACAAAAAAAATGAAAAAATGGCAACGACCACTTACCATCGTTTCCCAGTTTTCCGAACAACCGATTCAACCACTGATTTTTTCGCCGCCGACTGCCTCGATTTCTTTCGCCGACGACTTTTTCTGAAGATGGCGAATCTTTTGCCGAAGAAGATGTCGCCTGCGTCACCTGTATGCACGGAAAAAAAAATTATCGGCAACGACGGCGACCTCGAGTCAGATTTGGAAGATCGTCCTTGAGTTGGATTTAGATCTGCGAATCATTCCTAATCAGCTTGACGGGCGGGGCAGCGGCACAGTGATGAGAGAAAGAGACATGGGAGCATTGGTTGTGCAGAGAAGGGAGATAGAAAAGAAAGAGGAGAGGCAAGGGCGGCGGTGATGAAAGAGACATGGGAGCGTGGTAAGAGCAACTCCAATGGTAAAGTATCAGAATTGATCATCAAATATTAATTTGATACTCGTTTTATTATTTTGATACTCATTTACTCCAACCGCAAGCATTAAATGAATCATCTAATTTTAAATATAAGCATAAATATATTTAATATTGACACGTGTCAATTTTTAATTGGTTTGTTGGGTAGTTAATGTTTTGATACCTCTTTTTTCAGATGCATTTTTGCATCTCGGGAAGTTGAATATCAAAATAACTACCAATTTAATTCCCCCATTGGAGATGAAAATTTATGTTTTGGAGCATCAAAATAGAAGTTATTCCGTTTAATTCCCCATTTAATTCCTCCACTGGAGTTGCTCTAAGAGAGAAAATAAATTGAGAAAAAAGAGACGGTGGTTACCAGGCTAAAATAAACTGAGAAAGGATATTATAGGAAATTTGTATTATTTATGACTAAATAAAAATATTTTAGATTTATCTCAATAAGTACTTATCTAATGAGGGGGGTTTGTCTAATAATCCCTAAATTATAATACTTCAATTACACCCTATTCTAACCATATATTCATCGCAAGATCGTAGCTTTTTTTCTTAGTTTTCTCATCATCTTCTCTATTCACGGTTGCCGTCCTCTTTCTTCTCTCCACCGCCGGCTTTATCTCTTCTCTCCACCATCGTCGTTACCTCTCTTCCCCTTCACTCTCCACCGCCGCCGTGCAATCTCTTTGCAGTGGTAAAAAAATCCCTGCACTTCTGCAACCCGACATAGACCTCATCTCCCGTCGGCATATTCAAAATGCGGAAAGGGAGATAAGGGATTTTTACAAGACAAGGCTGCCTTTTTATATGGTGCCGAAAATGGTGGTGTTCAAGGATGAGTTTCCTAAGGCGTCTACTAGTAAATTCCATAAGATTTTTGTTTAGAGATATACTCTTTCTTATCTATTGTGATGTGCAATTATACTTTCATTAATTTATTGCTAATTTATTATGTGGGTGTAATCTGATCACCATTTTCTTAGAAGATGTATATATCGATTAATTATAATAGTCATATTTTTCTACCAAAATTTGAGGTTATAGTTTTTGGGAGCAGGCTTCGCCTAAAGTCAATCGGATTTGTGGGATAAACGGTGTTCCAGATTTGACTTGGAGTCGCCGTTGTTGTCGACAAATATACCCGATGCATGCACGAGCAATAGAGAAGTGGGTGTCGATGCACTTACAGTAAATAGTGAATTTTGGATTGTCATGGGACATTAAGTAGTGGATTACGTTAGAGGGACGAGGGTTGACAACGCGCACAGTGAATAGTGGATTTCAAATTCAAACACTGAATAGTGCATTTGAAATTCAGGCAGTGAATAGTGAATAACGTTAAATTTATAGTGGATTACGATAATCTTTCAGTGAATTTTATGTTCCATATTTTTTTAAATAGTGAATGTTCATAAATTTTGATGATCGTAATTGATTTCATTTTTTGGTAATTCTATAGGAAAAAAATTGATTTTTTAAAAAACTGAAATAAATAAATAAAAATAAAATAAAGCAAGAAAAACTCAAAAAAAAATTACATAGTAGATTATGTTAATTACATAGTGAGAAAAAGTATAATAAAAAACTATTTAAAATAAAATTGAAATTAATTTTTTTTTATATAAAAAAGTTAAAAATAAAATCAAAATAAAAAAATGAAACAAATTTAAATATATGTAATTCAAGAGATTATCTCAAATATGAAATTTAATTTGGGTTTATATTATGTATACATAATTTATTTCTTTTTTATTGAATATAACCGTGGTTAATGAGATAGTGGGCTATTGGAAGGGATTATCCGTGAAATGGAATTAAAAATTGGATTTATCCCTCTTATGAAACTATATAAGAGGGTTATCTCAAATAGCCCCTTTAATAAAATTGGAAAAAAATAAATGAAACAATCAATTTCAATAACTAGCTGTCAGTTTTGGAGTTTCTTTCGACAACTAGCTGTTCATGTTACAAATCTACTGCAACTCATCGAGTTTTATTCACAAATCGACAGCTAATTGTCGAAAGAAACTCTAAAATCGAAATCTAGATGTCGAAAAAGACTCCAAAATCGACATGTTCAGGTCGAAAACAAGAGACGAAGCATTCAAATGAAATTCAAGACAAAATAGACCAAATCAAGTGCGCCTAACAACAATTAATCAATATTCAATGCTCAATATACACATACTCATCTAATAATCATCCTAAATTGTCTAATTTAACAAGATTTTGGAAATGCCCTTAGAGTTTGTACAAGACACTATAAATACAATATTTATAAGTTTTTCACAAATACACACAACCCTAGCCGCTCTCCTCTCTCTCTTACGCTCGGCCGCTACCTCTCCGCCCTAGAACTGTCGCCGCCGATCATCGATTCCACGCGCCCCTGCCGCTTGTTGGTAGTTCATTTTCTTGTTTTTCATCGTTTGTTCTAATTTTTGTGTGTCCAGTGCCACGTAAGTTGTAGAATTCAATATACGAGGTGAAATCCAAGAGGAGCAAGACAAGGTTGCTGCATCGTCGCTACACCGCCGTCGCACGTGCTAGCACACGCCACTGCTCCTCCGCACGTGAGATTCACGCGCCGCCATCGAAATCGCGCATCTCGTCCATGCGCCGCCGTTTGACTGCTACATAACCGGATCTGTTATGAGGCAGCAAGGTAGTGTTAAGTGTATATTTTTACACTTAATTGTACCTTTTAATTGGAGCTTTTGGTGTGTTTTAACGATAATTGGTGCTTAAAATGATTATTATTTGTATTTTAGGTACAAATCGAAGAATTGGCAACTTATGGGGTAAAAACTGCAAATTCAGAGAAAAGTGTGCCAAAAGTAAAAAAATCAAAACTCTGAAGAATTAAGGACCGGACGGCCGTCCGGATTTCAGAGTTATTTCTCGCACGGGCGTCCGGGTTCACGAAGTGGCGCAGTGAAGGAAGTTTAATTACACAAGGAAACCGCCATCTTATATTTTTGCACCCTATTTAAAGGCCAAAAAGCACACAATTAGGAATCTATCTTTGAATACACGCAATCGAGGACGAGAGAACGGAGTAACGAAGACGAAGACTTACGAATCTTCATCATAGTTCTCCCTTTTTACTTTTATTCAACAACTTTTATGATTTTTCGTATTTTTATTATGTTTTTCGTAGAGAACATGAGTAGCTAAGTTTTTAAATCTAGGATTTTGTTGGAACCCTATGTGGTAATTCGAACCTATTTTTCTACTATTATGCAAGTTTAAATTCTTCGATTATTTCTTCTATCTTGATCTTATTTAGCGCATGAACGTAGCTAATTTATGTTGCTATGTGTTATTGTTAGAATTGAATCGACAGATCGTTTTAATAATTAGAACAGGGATAGAAGAGCCTTCGAGTAGTTTTCACCGAATGAGTGTGTTAATTGCATGTATTATCGTAGACATACAGATAATACCTTAGGTAGCCGTTTTCGAGACTTGTTATTTAATGCTTTATTCATACTAGGTTTGCATAGACACATAGTGAATCGTTTATGAATAATAGACTTATAATACACGCGACAACGGGTTATGGGTAATTTTGTGTCTTGGGTTAATAATCGGGAATCGTAACTTGCATGATAGAAGATTAATTGGGTGAAGAATTATCGCATAGGGAGAAGATAAAATCCTAGATCCGTTTTTATATTGATATTTTCTCGTGATTATTTGCTTTCTTAATTAGTTTAATTGTTTAATTGATTTAATTTGACAAACTTGCGTAGGCTGGATAAAAATCATAATTGTTAGAGTTGGTACTTAGGATTAGATAATTTGAGTATTCCCCCTGTGGGATCGACATCCGACTCTCACGAGTCCACTTTACTAATTATTTGCGATACGTGCACTTGCGTGTTAGGTATTTAGCCCCAACAAGTGGCGCCATTGCCGGGGAATACGGCTAAATTATTTATTTATCCTAATATTAAATTTGAGCAATTTTTCTTACTTCAGCCGTTTTATTTATTTTATTTAATTATTTTATTTTTATTATTTTGTTTTAGGTACTTTTTATGCGAAGAGGACACGACACGAACTTGCTACCTCTTGATCCCGAAATTGAGCGAACGTTTAGGCAAGCCAGGAGAAATCAACGGTTAGCTCAAAATGCTCCAGCAACGATGGAAGAAGAGATTAATCGTAGGGGAGATGACCAAGGGCGCCTACCGAATGCGGTGGGGGAAATCGTCAATGAGCAAGAGCAACGCCAGCTAATTAATCCACCACCTCGTCAACGAGCACTGCAAAAGTACACCGTTCCAACACTCAATGGATTTCAATCAAGCATCCAGCAGCCCCCCATTGAAGCCAACAATTTCGAAATTCGAGCGGGACTCCTCACTATGCTCCAAAACAATGGGTTATTCAGCGGATTGGCTCACGAAGATCCACATCTCCACTTGGTCAACTTTCTCGAAACGTGTGATTCGCACAAGATGAACGGAGTATCACCCGAAGCACTGCAACTCCGCCTGTTCAAGCACTCTTTACAAGGAGCAGCCCGGGAATGGCTACAAACTCGAGCGCCGCACTCCATCTCGTCTTGGCCCCAACTAGCACAACTCTTCATGAACACATACAACTCCCCAACAAAAACTGAGAGAATCCAAAGAGAAATTCAAAACTTCATACAAGAAGCCGGTGAAGCATTATTCGAGACGTGGGAGTGGTTCAAGCAGTTAATAAGGAGGCGCCCGAATCACGGACTTCAAGAGTGGCGCCAACTGCAAATATTTTACGATGGATTGCAAGACGAGCACGGTTCGAGGGAAGCGGGTCGATTGGAGTGCCAAGGCCATAAACTCCTTCTACAACATCCGACATGAGCCATTCAATTGGGAACAAATGCAACTCGCTGTAACAAGAGATCAACTAGGCGAGGTGTTGTGCGATGGGCCCCCAATTTGGTCCGAATTCTCCACCGAGGAGGAATACGAGTTGGAGTGGAAAAGCATCCACCAAATAGGCAAGGCGTGCCTTACTTTCATATGCGCCAACCTCATCCCCACCCGCTCGTGGACTCAAGTGGACCATGAACGGTGTGCTCTTGCATATTACATTTTAAAGGGCACACTGATGAATATTGGCGAAATCATATCCGACCGTTTTTGGATCTCCATGATCAACAACTCCAAGGGGTTCTATTTCCCTTGCCTCGTTACCGGCCTATGCAAGAAGGCGAAGGTCCTAACCAAAACGACGGATATTGTCACACAAATTCGGAAGCCGATTAGTAACCTTGCGGCCCGACAATTCAAGGCACCCATCCATGGTGGAGAGCAACCCGTTGATGGCCAACAATTAGCTCCACCCGAGGGTCCGCACAAGTTCGGACCGCCGTTTTCAAAGGCGAATGGAGCGAGAGTTCGTCATTACTAGAAATCGGCTTGCCACGGTGGAGCAGATAGCAATCACTTCAATTATTCTCGTGCGAAATTAGGCTCCAAAAAGGTAGATCCGTTTTTTCAATGATTTGATTATCCATCTAATAGTGATTATACGTAGACATTAAAACATGAATTGTATAAGTGGTTGATTTGATTATCTGAACAAGATTATTAAAATTATTTTTTCTATAGGATGCTTGTAGATTTACATTTAAGTTTATTTAAATTTCCCGCAATCATGTATATAGTGATAGCAAGACAAGGTACGGATTGATTATTGTTATTGTGCACGTGTTTATTTCATTAAATTGTTTTTCAAATAAAATTATTTAAAATTTTTATGTTTCACTGTGTAGACGTGCCTGATTTCCAACAATAGTATCCCTTATTTATTAGAAAATTGTTCTCATTCATCATTATTATCATCAACATGACCATCATCATCTTCAACATCATCTATTTGATCACGTTCATCCCACAAATGTGCTACGAATCTTCTCTTTAGTTCATTATGTCATCCTTGATTTATCAGATTTCAATGTCGATCAATATAATTAGCATATTTTGTATTCCTTAAATCTCTTGAAAAGTTAGCAAGCGGGACTATAGATGCATGCAAACATGACTTCATGTAAGTCTTATTTCTTCCAGAATCGAGCTACTCCGCTAATAATTGCAAACCAAGCTTGAAGATCTCCAAATGCCCATTCTACATCTTTGCGATATGATTCATGTTTCTGCACAAAATATTTTTCTTTGGTGCATTTGGGTACACTAATAACTTGTACTAAAAAAATGATCATTTAGGATAAATACCGTCAAATAAATAATAACCGTCATTATAATTCCTAACTTTGATTGAATAATTAACTGATACAGATGTACCATTGGCCAATGCTTGAAATAAAGTTGATTTTTTGTAAGACATTAACATCGCTATTTGTACTTGGGAAGCCGAAAAATGCATCTCATATACATGTATCAGCTACCGTTACTGCAACAGAGAATGCAACTACGGTAAACCTACTGGCGATGGACATTCTCTAATTTGAATTATAATAGTCAAGACTATTTTGTAGAAGAAAATATGGGTTGAGAGGGTGATATTAAATCAAATCACCATAGTTTTATGTGTACCGGTGATTTAGAAATGGAGTCATTAGCAATAAGCCACTCATATAGATAAGAAATAATGATATGTCCATCCATTAAATCTTTATTTGTAATAAATCCCTAGAAATTGTATTTCCAATACTATTCTTATGTCATTTAACATAATTTGTCTCAATTATTCTTTTTTTCTCTCTTTCCATAACAACAATTTAATTCCAAAAAATCTACTTCCAAATTCCTAAAAAAAATGCTACCAAATAAAAAAAAATTGAATTTTTTAGTTTTTATTTTTTATTATTTCGGATTTATTTCGCATTTTTGTTTTAATATTTTTTTAATAAAAATAGTTTTTTAAATAGAAAATTGAATTTTTTTTCTCGACTTGTTTACTATGCCGAATATGACTATAGTTGAATATGACTATATATTGGACTATATCAACTCTAGTCATATTTTTTCTTTATATTGCAGTTTTTTACATTTTCAATTTAAAATTCCGATTATATAGTGTGGTACAATCATGTTTACCAAATTATATAAAACAAAGAAGATTGCCTATTGTTTATGAAAACAATCTGATCAACATCCACACCAAAATCACAATTTGAATGTTGTTATTACAAGACAACTTAAAACGAAAATATAGAAAATATTTGAATATGACCGCAGTCACATTAAACAATAGTCATATTCGAATATGATTATAGTGGATAGATCTGGAAAAAAACAAGAATATCGAACTTAATGGAAAAAAACGAGAAGCTTAGCTACCTCTTCTTTGGTTTACAACGGAGGCCCTCCCATTTTTTGTGAAAAAACTCGTATTCGTTTTGAATCGCATCTTTTTTCTTCGAATTCTTGAGAATTGATCGGAACCACTCTTGCTCATCATCATATATTCTGCTATTCGTGATTCGCGTAACAAACAAGAAATTAATAAATCACTAATCGAGTGAATCGACAATAGTCATATCCGAACCAGACTATAGTCACGTTATGGCTGCTTCAGATCAGGAGAGAAAAAAATAGAAAAAGAATTGAAAAAACGAAAGGGATGGAGGGCGAGGCTACGACAACGACGTAGAATGAAAGAGAGGGTGAGGGAGGCGGCTACGGTGGTGTTGATGGACAGAACTGAAGAAAAAAACCCAGAGAAATCGAGAGATAACGAAAAAGGGGAATCTCCATGTAGAAATCACGAATCCGACGAAGAGCGGCGACGAGGTGGGGGAGGCACCGCCGCCACCACTTGTACAAGACGTCGATGTGGTGGTGTTGGACGAGGGGGGAAATGATCTCCAACATCGGCGGAGGACGACCTCCTGGATCGGGTTTCGGCTGGGCGACAGTTGAAAGGTATTGTTGACTCCGGTGGAGATGAGTGCACGAACAACGGTGGCTAGGGTGAGTGGACTACATTAGTGGTATAAAATAGAGGAAGGAAGGCGGCGGCGGTTACAGATCTGCAGAAACAACAGAAGAAAAAAAAGACTCAGAGAGAAAGAGAGAGATAATAGTGACATATTGTTGAATTTGAATGCCTATATAGTCCACTCATCTGTTGAGACAGACTACATGTTACGACATTAGGTGTGGTAACGGAATTCTTGTGTTGTCACAGTAACTAATCTACTAAAAGCAGAATAAAGAACACAAGAATTTAATGTGGTTCGGATACCAATGTACCCTACATCCACGAGGACTTGCAAAACTAGTTCAGATTTAAGTGTACATTAATAGGACTTAATAAAACACTAAAGACTCCCTCTTTATGTGATACGCCGTTCTTGCACACGACTCGAACTTGTTGATAATCAAAGCAATTCCTCCTCCGCACTCTTGGACTTCCTCCAATGTTGAACTTCCTTCAAATGGCGGATCGACCTCTCCCGAGATCTTTTAAGCACTTCTCCCGAAACGCCGATCTTCTTTATGGCCTGGTAGAAGAAACCTGTTCTGTTGCCACACCTGCCGTGCAGACAGGGCTGCAGCACGGGCTGCACCCTTCAAAGCCTTTATGCTGGGATTTTTCTTATTAAAGCTCCATCGGACTCATATGAGGTTGAGGGCCTTATATAGGCACGAAATCACCACCCTAAACCTAACTTGGGCCCTAAGAAATCGATTTAACTAGGTAATAGAATCCTAGTCGATTTCTACTTCTATTCTAGATAAGTACAAAAGATACCTAACTAGAATATAATACATGGAAATAAATCTAAGTCCTAATAAAAATATTACAAGAATAGGATTCTAATTAATTCCAAAATAAACATGGAAAACAAATCTTTGCCAATCTTTAATTTCCACGTATGGCGGATTTCTTCAATCTTCACTAACGGAAATTTGGTGCCAACAATCTCCCCCTTTGGCATAGATTGGTTAGAATCCATGTTTAACAAGAACTCCCCCTGCAGATGAGATTTACTCCCCCTGCAACAAAGATATCACTTTTCTTCACCCGTCTTGGTCTTCTATCAGAGTGTCCCATCACGGGGCACGTTACAACGCAGCGGAATTGGGTGAATGCCGTGACAGACTTCCGTCTCAACCTTCCTTGTGAACACACGTCATCCAATAAGCAAAGCAAACAAATCAAAACCCAAAATCAGACACTAAGTATATCTAGTGACCCGCTCTGGTGCCAATTGTTGATTTATATGCCTATAGAAATCAATTAACCTAAGTTGTAACAGTTAAGTTGTGGAAACAGTATTCAGTTACAACTATAATTCTTGTGTTAACACAGTTATAAACTACTTAAAGCAAATAAATGAACACAAGGAATTAATGTGGTTCAGACACAAATGTGCCCTACATCCACGTGGACCTGCAAACACGATTTCACTAGTTCAGATTTACAGTGTACATTAATAGGACTTATTAAAAATACTAAAGACTCCCTCTTTATGTAATATGCCGTTCTTGTACACAACTCAAACTCCGCGTCTCTCTCTAGCAGCTCCACTCCGCGTGATTGATATGCTAAACTCTTATTTATCAATTTCCATCTTTTAAAGCATTTTGGCCTAACATGTCCTACTTTGTGACAGAAATGACAAGTTGGCACAAACTTTTTTGTATAAGACTGTGAGGCAACATGTTGTGGAGTAGGTTTGACAGTATTATTCACAAAATTAATTTTTCGATTTGGATTAGGTTTACCATCGAACTTACTCCCAATATAGCCAAGACCAAGTTTATCAGGATTTGAGGGATGAGCATTTAAAATTTCATCTAACCTGTTTGAAGGAAGAATCGTAGTGCGATTTAACTTACTAACTGATGCCTCTAACGTTGTTGCGACAGGAGAGTTGTCACACTTCAGGTTGAGGCAGGGTTCAGCATTTCTCATTGGAGGAGGATTTTTCTTGATCTGCCTTGTCTTATTGCAATCGTTGTTTCGCAAGTGTCTCAGCAATTCTTTTAGATTGTCAATATCTTTCAAAGCGAAATCCTGTTTTACCTCCAGTACCTCATTTTCCAATTCAAGCTCATCGATTTTGGCCTTCAGGTTGACTTTAACTGCTTCATTCTCCTCTTCCAGTTCCTTTACTTTCTCCTTCAAACGCTTGTTTTCATCACCAACCTCATGACATTGCTTTAGAAGATCATTCAGTTGCTGTTGAATCATCTCAATGGAGCATTCTTCATCATCCTCTGAATCTTCTTCTCCTGTGGGCAAAAAAATTGTGTTTAAGTTTCTATGATTTTCGAGATTACGAGTAGCATACCTGAGGTGTGGCGGCTCAGTGCATGAGACATCATCCTGTGTTACTTTAGTGATCCTAAGGTGTGACGGCTCAGTGCATGTGATATCATTTTGTGTCGCACCAGTAACCCTGCATGTACCACAGAAGTCAATACTTGTTTCACATCACTTGCTTCACTGTCATCATCATATTCAGAGTTATTGTCACTCCAGGTTGTGGCAAGTGATTTTCATTGCTTCTTTAGAGTGTTTGCACATTCAGCTTGAATATGACCATAGCCGCGACATTCTCTACATCGAATCCCCTTCCTCACTTCTTGCTTATTTGTAGGACTTATGGGTTTTCTTTCAAAACTTGTAGGATGTCCATTCATATCCACGAGTTTTCCGAAGTTTTTAGCTATTAGAGACATGGATTTTGTTAGCTCGACTTCGAGTGCTGTCATGGGAATTGGGAGCACTGATGAAGTTGTAACAACGACTGTTTGTAGAGCAATTTTTCTTTCTTTATCTATTTTGCTGATGTTCAACTTGTTCTCAAAGGTCTGCAAATTTCCCATCAGATCTTCAAGTCGCAATGAGTCCACATCACTTGCTTCCTCAATAGCTGTGACCTTGTATGCGAATCGGTCTGGCATTGATCTCAACACTTTACGAACAAGCTTGACTTCAGGATAGGTTTCACCAAGCCCATGAGCTTCATTCGCGATATCGCATAGTTTCGAATTAAAATCGCTTACGGTTTCATTCTCTTCCATTCGAAGATCCTCAAAGCGAGTAGCGAGCATCTGAAGTTTTGATAATCGAACAGAGGTTGTTCCCTCATAAGCTGTTTGTAATTTTTCCCATGCTTCTTTGGCACACTCACATGCTGAGATGATTTTGAATTGATTGATATCAACTCCATTGAATATGGCATTCAATGCTTTGGAATTCATATTTGCGGCAAACTGTTCAGCTTTGCTCCAGTCTTTTTCATGTTTCTCAGTTTGAATTCCTTTTTCATCTGTGGCAACAGGTCGTTTCCAGCCAGTCAGAACTGTGCGCCATGCATCTTCATCCATTGACTTGATGAACATCTTCATCTTGGTCTTCCAATAAGAGTAATTGGTTCCAGTAAGCAGTGGTGGACGAGTCGTGGAACCGCCTTCCATATGAGCATTCATAGTTCCTATGGAAGATAAATGGCAAATAAATCTAAGTCCTAATAGAAGTATTATAAGAATAGGACTCTAATAAATTCCAAAATAAATATGGAAAACAAATCTTTGCCAATCTTTTAATTCCAGAACTTGGCGGATTTCCTCGATCTTCAATAGCCGGAAATATGGCGCCAACACATATAAAATTATATCACGTTAAAAACCTAACCACATAAGAGCACTTTAGTTTTATCATGTCTGGTCAGGAGGGTCTCACTAATTCAGATTGAGATTTTTGGACTCTTTATAGTCAATTGGGTTTAATTTCAAATATTTTCTAAATGAGTGGTATTGCATATTACCCCTTTAAAAATTTAGTTTGGGAGTTAAAAACACTTAAATTAGATGATAAAGATTGGATTCGATGATAAATGGAAGATGCTCTTAGCATATACTATTTGTATTTTAGATAAAATGATTTATGATTCGATGCACGAACCATGAATCAAAATAATTATATAGTTTCTAATTATATTCTTCGTATCAAACGATCGAACGAGGTGTTAGAGAGTAGATTATTTCATGCATCTCAAGATTTTTATTTTCTTCATAAGACTTTTTGAAACAAGATTATGTTCTATTTTTTTGTAATTTCCAAAGTTAAACTCAAATGTAATAAGTCAAGAAAAAGACATTATTGTTTGTTAAACCAATACTATGCTAACAAAACTATAAAAAATACCTTTTTGTATATATTTTTTTAATATAAATTAATCGGCCTGTCACCATACAGATTAGATTAGAAGAATGCCCAAACGGCTAAGTCAAAACATTACGAAAATAAAAGAAAAAAATTACCCTAAGAAAAAAATTAGTAGTGTCAATTGTTTTTATTTATTATTTATTTATTTTAAAAAAATGGATGAGAAATAATAATCTGAGTATAAAGAATGAGAGAAATGTCTGTAAATCACGAGAGCGCCAGGTCATAGAACAACAGGCCGTCTCTCCTCCAAAAAAATTCAATCAGATCCATCCATCACCCTACCTACATTTCGTTAATCCCAATTTATTTTCCGCCATTGTTGCGCTTGTTTGATTCATCTCCACGTTGTTTTTTATCATTTTTTTCCCGGCGGAAGTTTGTTTGAATTAAAGTTTTTTTTTTTTATTTTTTTGAAGATCTTTGACTCCCGATTTTGGTTTTTGACTCTCTGGATCAATGGCGAGCGAAGAGCTCGCGGAGATCGAAGGCCAGATTTCGGATATTTTTCGAGCTCTTTCGTAAGTTTTTTTTCCCCATTGTTGATTGTTTTTTTTCGTGAAAAGGATGAAGAGATGCGAATGTGTATATATGACATTTTGTTGAATGTTTATTCATAAATATGTATGTATGTGCGTGTGTATGTATATATCTACATATAAATGTACAGACGAAATCCTGAACCATTTTGAAGCCAAAAGTCAATGAAGTGGAATTATATAAATGTTGAATTTGTAAGCATTGTTGTGTTAATTATATTATTGATTTGGGTAATGAAGGAATGGATTCCAAAAATTGGAGAAGATTAAAGACTCCAGCAGGCAGAGCAGGCAGCTGGAGGAGCTCACGGACAAGATGCGTGAATGTAAGAGGTATTTGATTTCGTCAATGGATTTCGTTCTTCTTCATGAATGTGTGTGTGTGTGTGTGTTTTCTTTCCTAAAATATATTAAATGATGAATTATCGATGCTATAATAGTTAATAGATAATACATTAGATGTGGCATTTTTAGGGAGTCGTTATTTATTTCATTTGAATTGAGATATATTGTCTGTAAAAAAATCACCATTTTCTGTCACATTGGTACATGCAATACCCATTATATTTGCTACAAAATTATTGGAAAACTTGGATATCGAATCAAAGACATTAGAAACAAGTTCTTCTTTCGGTTTTGTGATTGGACGTTGAAAAAAGAACGCAGAAGATTAATTGGGAAGGTCTTGGAACTCTCATGGTTTAAGACTTTTGTTGTGCCTTTTAGTAAATATTGTAACTTATTACTCTTTGGCTTCTTAGTATCTTCTTGTATGTAGTGATTTTGCATATGGGATTTGACCCTTTGAAGAATGAGGATACAATGAGAGTGTTGTAATTGGAGAAGTAATAACATTGTGATGACAAGACTAGTTATGGAATGTATAATTTCTAGACAAGTTTATTGTTGGAGATGATTTATGGAGCTCATAAGATGTTATACCTTGATTAAGAATAAGGTTTCAAAATGTTTGGTAAAATAACATTGTGGATTTTGTAATGAACAAAATGTACTTTGAATAGTAAAAAAAAAAAACAGAAGGAATGTGTTGCGACTTGAGATCTTATGATAATTTAGGAACTTTTTACTTTTTCTTAAGGAAGGTTCTCATAAGACATGGCATCTTGTTTTTACGAGCTTATACCTTGTAAATGTTTTATGGAGCTTAAAATCTCATCCAAACACTCTTAGTTTCATTTATCTACATCATAATATGCCATCGAACCAAAAATATTTTTCCTCTCTCTTTCTCTCTCTCTCTCTCTCTCTCTCTCTCTCTCTCTCTCTCTCTCTCTCACACACACACACACACACACACACACACACACACACACACACACACACACACACACACAAGGATGTGCACAGACACACGCACACACATACTCAAACCATCACGCCCACCCCCCCAAACCCCACATACCCGAACATGTTTGTGAATGCACATAGATGTAGTGGACCCATGAATTTTAAATGTATAAGATGATCTTTCTCCGTGATCCAGGCTTATTAAAGAGTTTGACCGGGAGTTAAAGGACTCAGACTACAAAAATGACCCCAACACAAACAAGATGCTTACTGAGAAAAAGCAATCGATGGTCAGCTCTAATTCATGCAGTCTGTTTTTTCGTTGATACTACAAAATAATTATTATATATATTTTTTTAATATTTGGATTTATCTGCCTTCTTATGCAGATCAAAGAATTAAATTCATATGTTGCTCTCAAGAAACAGTAAGTTCATCTGGAATTATCAATATTAGAGTGCGTAGCATTTAATATGCTATGCAACTGGTTGTTGTAGTTTCACTACATCAGTTTATTTGTTCTCCTCTACCCTCGGTTAATTAATGTCTCAGTGCTGTTTTTTATTTTTATTTGTAGTAAATCAAATCATTTTTCTGAAAGCTTTCAACCTGAATGCCTGTTTGCATACCAGCAACAATCGCACTGGAATTTGTTTTAATAATTGTACCTTTCGGGATCTATATTTTCTATTTTAGCTGTAACTACTGATATTTCTGACACTATCTATACCTTAGTGTAATTAACTGATGTTTTGCGTCCTGTCTTTCCCACTATCTTCCTTCTAAATTATGTTTGTTATGTTTAGCAGCGTTATTTGAAAATTAATGTATGACATTAAATCTTGAAACTTTATTATTTGTAGTTCAATAAATTTCTTGGTGATGCTGTAGGTATGCAAGTAATCTTGAAAACAAGCGAGTTGATCTCTTCGAGGGCCCAGGTGAAGGATTTGTAGAAGAGAATGTGCTACTTGCTTCCGGTAAGCTTTTTCTATCATTCTAAAGAAAAGAAGACTGATAACCCTATAACGTTTGTTAGCACTGCAATTGGCATTATATTATAGTTTGAAGGAGCTCCTAATTTCTCTGGTACCGATTTAGAGGAATCGATATTACAGTTATTTGCATTCACCTTTTGTGCCCATACTAACTCTTCGTAACTGAATAATAATGGCATAAAGAAAGGAGCAGCAGAAATAAATTAGAGGTAGACTGACTTAATGAATTAGGCTTCTCTACGATGACAATTAATATACTTATCTCAAGCTGCTGATCTAACTGTGTAAGGTTAAAAATGTAGGGAAATTCTGTCCAGGTGAAATTAACCTTTAGTTTTAAATATGTAGAGAAACTTGACATTTTTTGGTCGAAACAATTCGATGTACTTTCTGTATTCGATTTCAATCCTTTTGGTGCAAATGCGATGCTGCAGATATGAATAATCAGCAGCTAATGGATCATGGGAATCAGATGATGGATGAAACGGATCAAGCAATTGACCGAGCAAAAAAGGGTGTGTTCTTTAGTGCAT